TGTGCGTGGCAGTCAATATGACCTATTACACAGCAGGGTAAGTTAAAAAAAACAACCAAATGTGTAAACTATGATGTAAATATGATTCATCAGAAATAAACAAGCCTTTAAAATAAAATCCAAGTTGGTAAAGTAGTGATTTTGTGCATAAAACAAAACATTAGCAGATTTTTAAGTATCTAAGATGATCTTTTTGTAGTCCATCTTGAGGATTTTGTAGTTTGGCCATACATTTACAACATCCAGCATCACATTATGATCGGGGGAAATGACCCAGTGAGCTCAGAGGAGGAAGATTGTGAACTATTTGAATATGCAGATTTTCTTGATTTGTTTAATGCGATGAAATTACTCATTATGATACTTTAAGCAGGTTCAGGAAAGAAATAATTCCTAAAGGTGAAGTTAATCAAATCAGTGGCAGATCTCTCTGAGTAAAACCTCTGATTTGAATTTCAAATCTGGATACATACTGTGCTCATTCCTCGGCGCTCTTAGTATTTGCTTATTAGTTCAGGATTCAACATAAGCTCAGAGCAAAAAGTCAACAAGATGTAAATGAAGCTGTAATAGCATGAAAAAAAGGAGGAGAAGGCAAATCAACAAGTTTCGTAGATCAGGGGTCAGATAGACTCCTCTTATAAACAGGACAAACATTTATTTATGTGTTTCTAACAAGTTCTTTCATTATATTTAATAAACCCTCAGTGCTTTATCACAGGAGGAGAGTCTGAATAGTTCTCTTTACTTAGAATGAAAAACTTGCCCTAATTTAGTCATCTTAAATAAGCTGATGTGTGAAGGCAGTAAACTCGTCTTCACACATCAGCCCTTCATTAAAAACATCTTGTGACTGAAGGTTTTTTATTGTTGTTTTGCTTAAATCTGGATCAGCTTACAGAAGAGGAGGCAGTGTAACAAAGAGTATTAGGGCATCATATGAGGCAACATGATAAAAAGTACACTCATCTCCGTACTGTTCTTGTGTGCTAAAAAGACATAATTTATTTGTTACTAAAACTCATTCTGAAGTAATTTTCAGTAACTCATCGACACAAGGCATTTTGTAGAGGGTGTAGCAGATGTGACAGTTTTTCTTGTTTTTGACTTTATTCTCAAAACAGTATTTTGAGGTTAATCTCAAACTTTCAACTGAACAAAATTGTTTTTCATATTGTGGCTATAACACTCCATTAGGAGAAACAGCTGAACTGAAGTGAAAAAAGCAGATATGATTCAACTTGAGTTTTTACGTGTCTCTTCTGATTGAAATCCTGTTGAGTCAGTGCAAACAAACACACAACAAACCCTCTTGGTTTTTTCGTCAAGCAACAGCAAGTGGAGAACACAGACCCTATAGTGATAGTGAAAGTCTAATGTGTTTCGTTGAACTACACTTTCCTGTCCAATCAACAGAGAGTAGAGAACTTCTCAAGTTGAACATTTTTATTGTCATGCACAGATAAACAGTATAGCCACATTTACCTGTAATGAAATTATTTTTCTCATGCTCATCAGCTTTACATGAAAATATATATAAGTGTGCAGTTGTATTAAAGAAGAAAATAACCATAATAATAATAAAAATAAAAATAACTTACAAAACTGTGATGGACCGAGTTGAAAAAGTAGGAGTAATTATTGGAAAAATAGGATTGCCATTTATTTAACCCAAAAAATATATGGACTCATGGTTCAAAGCATTGTGATGATTCATTTGCTCTACTGCGCCATCAAGTGGACGATTCAAGTGAAACAGACTCTTTGATGGGATGTGTAAACCTCTAAACTGAATAAATAAATTGTTTTCATGGTTATTTATCCCGAATATTGTCTCAGCATGTCTGATACAAAAGAGAAAGTGGAAACTATCAGGACAGAGCTTTGGTATGATTGTGTAACTGTGTAATCATGCTTATGTACATCTGGATAATCACACAAACTGTGGCTCTTCACTTTTTAATAAACTAAAAGACAGAAATCTGATTATAGGATCTGTAGTGTTGTTTATTTGTATTATGGTACTTATCTTTGTGATATTTATTACTGTGTGCATACTTTATTAGGAGATGAAATAAAATAAATCTCTTCCTTGCTGGTTCCATCGAAGAAAGAATAGCTGAAGTAACTATGTAGCACATACGTAATCCAATTCCACAACACAGTGTGATGGGGAATCAGCTGTGTTTTGCTGGCCATTTTATTTCGAATCTGGCGCGAACCGGCGAGCCAGTTCCTGAATCAGTCACGTGGTACGGACTGCCCGCGAGGCCTCGAACGTCACTGCACACGTAATCAAAGCGAGCCTCGATACGCGCTTCACAAAAACTCCCGCGAGATTACCCAACACACGCTTCGAAGCTTCGACACACAGGACACATCACTAGTTATTGTGTTCTAACAAAGGATTGAAAATACAAGAGTTACCGACTTTAGAGTGTGGCTACTATGGGTTTGGCCATCACAAAAACACTAAAGTATTAATATTAAGAGAATTTGAGGCAATTGTTTGGTATTCACCGTTTCGTATTTACAGTTGTGCAAAAACAAACTTGTGCAGTCAGAGTTTAAAGTGGTTTAAAGTGACAGTGTGTAGAGTCCAGTAGTTGCAGTGAGTGTGTAATGGTGTGTATAGAATGTCAGCAGTTCAAAAGTCTGATGGCTTGTGGGTAAAAACTGTCTCTGTGTCTGGTAGTGCGGGCCTGAATGCTTCTGTATCGCCTCCCGGACGGCAGGAGTGTGAAAAGTCTGTGGCTGGGATCAAAGAGGATCTGCTGCGTCTTCCTCACGCAGCGCTGTCTGTAAAGATCCTGCATGGCTGGCAGTTCAGTCCTGGTGATGCGCTGTGCTTATCTCACCACCCTCTGCAGAGATCCAGAGCATTACAGCTGCCGTAGCAGGTGGTGATGCAGCCAGTCAGAATACTTTCAATGGTGGCTCTGTAGAAGTTTGTAAGTATTCTGGGGTTCATGCCGAATCTTCTCAGGCGCCGTAGGCAGAAGAGCTGCTGTCTCGCTGCTTTTGTGATCACACCAACATGGTGTGACCACCTCAGATCCTCGCTGATGTTGATGCCCAGGAATCTGAAGTAGCTGAGTCTCTCCACCTCTGCTCCTTTGATGTGGATGGAGGTGTGGCCTCCTCTCTGCAGTCTCCTGTAATCCACGATGAGCTCCTTGGTTTTGCTGATGTTAAGCAGCAAGTTGATGTCGGGGCTCTCACCTCTGCACTGTATGCGGCCTCATCTCCATCAGAAATGCAGCCGATGATGGTGGTGTCATCTGCAAATTTCATGATGGCTTTCTCTTTTATGTAGTAAAAATTAGGTTGTTTCATTTTCACTGCAGTGTTGGGACACTCACATTAATCGATCTGTCAGTGAACACTTTGAGTAATGTAACTGCTGACAGCAAAGGGCAATGCTCTCAGAGTCCAAATCCATGAGTGGCTGTCTACCTTTGTGTTAGCAAAGTGGGTTTTTTTTTTGTTTTTTTCAATATTTCATTTTGCTAATTTTTTCAAAAAGTGTTACAAAATGTGTATTTTGACAAAACTTGAGTTTTCTTTGGTTGTTAATTTAATTTGTCTTTTGAATGTGTGCCACTGCCACATCTTTGTTAAACTGGTCTGGTCTGAAATTATGAAAATAAAGATTATTCAGGTTTTTAAAAATATAACTCTCTGCTTCTTAATTCAGACAAAACTGAGGTAATTGTACTCAGTAGGGGTGCAACAATACACAAAATTCACGGTTCGGTTCGATGCTTTGGTGTAACGGTTCGATATTTTTTCGATACAAAAAATGTTCATGCCTTTTTAATTTGTCATTTATTAAAATTATAAATATATATTTTAACTCAAAAGTACATTTTTTTTAATGTAATGTTGCTGAAACAACAAAATAAAATAAAAAATCTATCTGATCGAGAAATCACTCATCTTTGGAAAAGAGAGTTTATTACAGAGAAATGGCTCTTTCCAAAATAAAAGCTATACTATACGCTTCTTCTGGGCTATATTCTCAGCAGCATATTAAACATATCAGGTCCCCATAAGGAGAATCATGTGCTAACAGCTGTCTAAATGACTCGGTAAAGTTTGTAGCATGTGTGCTTGTTGCTTTTGTCTGCTTCCACTTGTCTTTGCACTAGGATGATGCCAGTGTAAATGTGCAGTCATATTCGTTGTGTTCCCACTAGTGCTGCCAGCATTAATCTCGTTAAAATGACGTTAAAGCCACAACACGGCAAATCTCCGTTAACGAGCTACCGCGGATCGCCCCGTGCGTGGGGCTGGGCGGCGTCAACACGTTAACAAGCTAGCTGCGCTAACACACTAGTTCCCACCAATTGAGCATTGCGTGGCACATCCGACATACTGTGTTACTTTTGTCCATGACGCGCTTACCTTCAGGGTCATGCTTCACATGAAAACCAAAATAGTTCCAAACGCCAGATCTGAATGAGGGTGGGGGAGGTTCAATTTGCCATGTTGCAAGTAGAGCTTAACTTCTGTCTTGCTAGCTTGCGCTGCGCTCAGTGGATCTGCACTCGACAGTGCAGCCTAGGCGGAGTAGTCGAACGCAGATTCACTGAGCGCTCAACACAGACAGCATCGTCAGAAGAAAAGTTGATAAAATAAATTACAAATTTTGTATTGTTCATACATATGCGTACCGAACCGAAAGCACTGTATCGAATGGTTCAATATCGATACGAGTATTGTTGCACCCCTAGTACTCAGCCCTGAAAATCTTAGAAATATGGTATCTAACCAGATTCTTACTCTGGATGGCATTACCTTGGCCTCCAGTAACACTGTGAGGAACCTTGGAGTAATTTTTGACCAGGATATGTCCTTCAATGCACATATTAAACAAATATGTAAGACTGCTTTCTTCCATTTGCGCAACATCTCTAAAATTAGAAACATCCTGTCTCAGAGTGACGCTGAAAAACTAGTTCATGCATTTATTACTTCTAGGCTGGACTACTGTAATTCATTGGAGGTTATGATAGGGGACAGCAACAGGGACACAGTTACTAATCCCAGTCCCTCTCTACCCTGACTCTAACCCTAATATAGGCACCCAGCCTCCCCTCCTAACACAGCACTCACCTACCTTGCTGTCTTCACTGTCAGCAACACTAAAACAACTAACAGCACTTTAAAGTGCTGTAAAGCCACAAGCTTGTTTGCTCTTTCACAAAATTCTTCTTTCACCGCTATGATGTTGATGGTTGCCTGATATTCTCGGTTGGATCAACATTACAAGGTAACCTGTGTGAGTGTGTGGTAAGATCCCTCTGTAATTTTCAGAATATTCTGACTGAAACGTTATAATAATGTAACACTCGTGTATCCTGTGTTCACACATACTCAGTTGTCCAGGTAAGGTTCAGGTGAACTGCAGCTTTAAGTGTCCTAAATGATGTGATGATGTGTGAGTGTAACCCCTGTGAGAAGGTGGCTCACAGGTAAGCTGCAGAGCCTTGTTCACATGGACGTGTTTAAATAAAGTTAGAAAAGGTTTCATTTCTTAATGTGAAGCACAGCTGGAACATCTGGAAGATGCCGAGCATCAGCTGTAGATCCAGAGTCACAGTGACCTCTGCCTGTACACATTTTTTGTTAAAGGTAAAAGATGAAAATATTATTTAAAATAGAAAATGACTCTCATGACCCTGAAATCTCTTTTTTTATGATGACATCACATCCCACAGCTGCTTGTGATGCTAGCACTGACCTGCTGTTACAAGTATATAACAAACATTACAGACATGTAAAAACACAGAAAATATGTGAACCTGAAAAGTGATCTGAGATTTTATGTGTTAATCTACAATCTTTGACCCGCTTACTCAAATTTGAACCCTGCTAGCTTCATTTTTATTAAAATCAACAGAAATGGTTTTCTTTGTAACAGTTTAAATTAATATGTAAAAGTGTATCTGAGCAGAGACCTGGACATAAACTTCTTCATGGTTTATAATTTAATACCTAACAGAAAGGTATGAAGGGCCCATTTGTTAAGGTTGTGCAGTTCTGAAAGCACATGGATCAAGTCCACATTCAGCGGGCTGAAGTATGATGTAACAGCGGTGCATTGATCATGATTAATCAGAGGATGATCCCTGCAGCTCCAGGCGCAGCTCGCACAGAGCAGACAGGTACTCTTCATTGTCCTTGTCACAGTTCAGAGCTTTCTCATAAAACTCAGCAGCTTCCTTCCTGTTGCCCTCAGCTCTGGCCACCTGACCCAGCAGAGCAAGAGCTTCGCCATCACCCGGATTCCTTGACAGACGTCTCTCAGCGATCTTCTTGAGTTTCTGCAGGAAAGATGGAGGAACAAAGACAGATGAATTTCTGTGGATTTAGAGAAACTGACTTTTATTTTCAGTGACTTTCTCAGACCAGGATTAAAAAAATATTTAATGTCTAACTGAAGACATATGAGTACAGCAGCTCCCAGCCTTAAACCACAGAACAGGACTGATTCAAGCTGGTTGGCAGGTGAGAGAAAGGACAGCTGTGGAAACAATCCAGACTCCACTCCCTCAGTACTGTGTTGAGACGATGTGTGGAAACAGGTACACTGAGTGTGCTTTATCAGAATACAGCCAGGGTCTATATGAAGGTGCAGGAGAGCCAGTCCCTGTTCAGCAGGTGGGAGGTTTCTCAAAATACGCGCAAACACCTTGTTTGTGTTAGTGAATTTTGGCCCTACACAGAGATAAAGGAGAAATCCTTTGATGGACAAATCAAATATCACAAAGTTTTCTGCAAAGGAAGGAATCTAAAATCATCTTCCACCACCTGGAAGCTGAAAGCTTCCACCTGACAGATTAGCCTCCCTCTGACTTCACGTCCTGCTAATGAAAATGGTCCAGAGGTGCAGCAGACAGGAGACTTGGTCTCAGTAAATTTTGACCATAAACACTGATTAGACTTTAATCACATAACCTTTAGCGCTCACCTTAGCACAGATTTTCTTCTCATATTTCTTCAGTGGTATCAGGAGACCCTGCAGGCAGGACACAGGAGGCAGATTAATAACACAGATATAACTGATTGGTCATTAATAACATTCAAGTGTGAGTGTGTATGTTCTGATTGTTTACTGCCATGTGGCCCTCTGGATTTGGGCTCATTTAGCCTGAATTCCTATTTTAGAGCAGGGGTGTCAAACTCATTTTACATGGTGGGCCAGATGCAGCCCACTTTAATCGTAAGTGGGCCCGATCAGTGAAACATATTTAACTCTTTCCTACATGATGAAAGAAAGGGACCTGTGACAAAGAGGCAAATCTGTAATAGGATCATTTCACTGTTTAGTACCTAATTGCTTTGTGTGAATGGCCATAAGGGAGGTTTTTATCAGCAGTAAAAACTGTAACACTGAAAACACAGTTAAAAGTCCAGAATTTCTGCTTGTGCTTGTTTGTGGTGATCGGCAGATCAAACAAGTTAAGAATTATAAATGGCGTCAAGCGTGAGACTCATTTAGGCAACGTCCACACTGGCCTGGATAGATTTGAAAATGGCGTTTTCTTCTGAAAACGCTCTGCGTCCACACTATCGAAAATAATCCCTGCCTTAAATCTCATGTTTAAGGCAGGGATTATTTTCCATGCCTGGCAGCTCCACCTTCATCATCCATTCTCCAGTGCTTCCATCAAGACGAGCTACGGCAGGGACTTAATTGTTTTTACTCATTTAGTAAAATGATACGTGACTTATGTGGATTTCGGATGTAGATTTTTTTTCAACTTAGTGCATACATCTACTACCTTTTAGCAAAAAGACAGCAGTTTTCTCCAGATCTCTTTTGATACAACCTTTTTGGAAGAGACACCAAAGATTCCCAAGACAGCGGAGGATTATAATCTTTCCAGAGTGTGCTGGAAAAATGAGGACATTCTCGTGTAACGCATGCTTCAAACACCTAGGAGACATCCAGGTGAAAGAATAGCAGCTCTACTCTGAGCTCCTCATGAATGATAAAACTGTAGACACCCTTCAGAGGAGGGTCGTTCCTGCTGCAAGGATCGTTTATCTTATTCTTTCAGTCGCTGCCCACAACTCGTGGCTACAGGTGAAGGTGAACTGATCAGTAAACAAACAGAGCTGACTTCAAGCTCAGCTCTCTTTACAACAACAAACCAGTACAGCTGCTGTGTCCACTGCTTTATTCTGGGACATGTTTTGCCCTTCAGGGGTCTGTGCTGGTCACGTGACAGAGTTTTGAGGTCATGTGATTCACGTTCCAATTAATACTGGTTTTAATCGTATTTCAATCGATTGCTTTGCACCTCTTAACCAACCTTGGTGTAGTGAACGATGGCTTGAGCTTCATTTCTTTTGTGATGGTAATGAAAGTCACCAAAGCGCTGATGGATAGCTTGAGAAAGGCTTTCATCACACTCTGGTAACTTCAACAAGCACTGCTGGAAAATCTCCTCTGCCCTGAGAAACAAAGAGATGATCGTGATGATGACAAACATGCGCCGAGCAAAAAGACAGGAGTCACTGCTGCTTTCCACAGAGGAGTACCTTCTGAAATTCCTTTCCTCTGCATACAGCAGTGCCAGGTCAGCCCACGCAAGATGAAAGGACGGCTTTATCTTAACAGCCATTTCAAATTCACGAATACAAGAACGCCTCCAGTACCGCACCTCTCCTGTGGAGCCAGAAATCATGGTTTATCTCTGAGTTTGGGGATAACTGGACCTTTAGACATGCAGTATGTTTGAGCGTACTTTGGTTGCTGAAGGGCTTGTGGCTCTGCTCAGCAATCTTCTTCCTCTTGTAGCACAGCGCCAGCTGGTGGTGGATGAAAGATGACTGGGTGGTCCTCTTCAACGCTCGCTCCAACATATCAATAGACTCGTCCAGTTGATGCTGAAACAACATTTAATGGTCATTTTCACAAAAATTAGTAAAAAACTAAAGAAGAATGCCTCAATCCTGGAAGAAGTTCCTCGACAATTACTGAATCTCCCGGAGGAACCCAGCCGAGGGATTAATAAAGTTTCATCTAATCTAATCTAATCTAATCTAACAATTTAGTGGAAACATTAACTTCCTCTGTCTTCACTGAAGGAAGGAACTCAGAACCACTAAATTAAGCATAAAAAACTTTAGTAATCTGTTTTTTCAGTCTCAAGCCTGATTCAGGTCACTGGTCAGAATAAAATAATACAGATTTTACTATTTCTGAATCAGGAGAATTCAGGAAGGTGAAAATACAGATAAAAGGACAGAAACAGATCAGAATTAGAGAATGGGAAACCCAGCCCAACCAGCATGGCTCATTTAAGAAAAGGCCGAGTTAGTCTTTAACAACGATCACAGATAATCTAAAAACTCCGTGGAAGCTAAAATATACAGAGCTGCACATCTTTGACAGCCTTCTTTGGAGCTGATGTAGGGTCAGGGTGCATGCTTTACCATCTTTAAATAAAAGATCTCCATGGACCTGTGCACTGACTCTTATATTACATGACCTTGGAAGAATCACATTATCTGTGGTTGCATGAGTAGTAAGCATTTACAATATCCAAATTCAGACTTACATGATTACGAAAGTATTTTCCTACGTAGCGGCTGACATGAGGGTTATCAGGATCAGTTTTCAGTGCTTTCTTCAGCAGACCCTCAGCTTCTTCATATTTCTTATAGGCTCCGAGCTTCACGGCCAGCATGGACTGCAGAACAGCATCATCGGGGTTGAGCTCCAGGGCAAAGTGAAGCTGTTTGATGGATGGAGGCTCCTCAGTTTCCTGTAAGTTTTCTAAAACCCACTGCAGATGAGAAACTGGTTAGTCTACTGTGAACTGCTGAGAACCACACCCCAATGAACTGCTGGGTTTTTTTTTTAGAAACTGATAAATTGGCTGTTTTTTAGAACAATATAAACATAATAAATTTATTAACTGATATCAAACTTATAAAACTGACCTCTTCTGTGCGAAAGAGGGCGATGGCGTAGCCGGCGTTCCACTCAATGTCATCAGTCTGTGTCTCAAGTGCTTTACGAAAACTGTCAACGGCTTGTAAGTAGTAAGATTTTGACAACTTGAGGTAGGTCCAGGCTTGTTCTCCGTAGACCTCTGGAAGGAGACTTGCTGATGAACCAGTGGGATACTTCACCTGCAGAGGGAGAAGGTTCAGCTGCAGTCAGAGGTTCAGAAGCATGTGATCTATAACATTTGATCTGATTGGTGTACATACCAGCATGTCCTCGACTTTCTGACAGTAGCTTTGTGACTGTGCAAAGTCTCCAGCATGATATTTCAGCCAGGCCATGTCTCCATACGTCACAATCAGCCGCCTCTCACTCTCATCCCCATGACGCTCCCTGATGGTCTCCTCTGATTGGTTTAAAAGTGACAGCGCTTCCTCTCGTTGATTCTGAAGATACCTGAGGACCATCAACACATGCTTATAATTAAATCATGTTTTTCTGGAATCATACTTCAGATGTCTACACCTGGCCTGGTCTTCAATAACAGCCCTGCAGCAGGTCTTTATTTGTTGACATTTAGCTAAGGTTCTAGACCCCATGGGTGTTAAGATAAATACTTTACCTGCATTTCCACCAAAATAATCATGCAAACAAGTTTTAGGAGGCAGATTTATATTAAGATCGTACCCACATACAGGATAGGTGGGTACTGTCAGGAAATTCAGCCACAAAGACTGACTGATACAATCCATACTGTTTGAGATCAGTTCATATCATGGATCACCACTTCTACTGTCTCCTGGAGTGCTGACTATCTGTCAGAGAGGTCTGAGTTTGTCTGTTGTGGTGGTGGGGCAGTCCTATCACCATTTCTGTTTACCTTGTGCTCCTCAGACGTCCAGTGTAACAGTTAAACATGCCACCTGCAGAAGTTCTCTGATGACACTACAGGGGTTGGGTGTATTATGGAGTACAGGGAGCTTGTGAGGAACTTTGTAAAGCGGTCCAAAATAAATCTCGTCTCTTTGAATGTCAGCAAGACAAAACAGATTGTGGTTGACCTCCAGAGGAAAAAGAACTGTGACTAGGTTCATCCACACGATCATCAGTGCCAGAGATGGAGCAGGATCAACAAGGTAATCCGTAAGAGTGGAAATATCATTGGTTAGAATCTGGAGGTGTTTGACACATGGAGGGTCACAGGTCAACCACTCTATCTATCTATCTATCTAGCTAGCTATCTATCTAGCTATCTATCCATCTACCCACCGACCGAACGACAAGATCAGCCTGTCGCTATGTTGCTGGCATTTGCATCTCGCCAGTAGTTAAATTAGTTAAATTACCCAAAAGTAATTTTGCCCACTGCTGTGGAAACTGTACCTGACATAAGCCAAGAAGCTGTATGATCGAGCCACTGCCCCGCGCTGGCCGAGCTGCAGTTTTATGTGGTCCTGTAGTCGAGTGCTGAGGTTCTTCAGGTCCACGTCCTTCTTCAGATCCCAGGTGAAGTGACACTGCAGCTGCTGCAGCCTCCTGAGCAGAGCGCTGCTTCCTTCACTTTAAGAGGATCACAAAGAAAAACAAACCTTTGCATGTCAGAGACTGCACTTTGTTTGTTTTTACTTTAATCTGTACTGCAGCTTTTACTGGAGTATTTTTAACACTAGTACTTCTACCACCTCGCCTAGTAGTAGTAGTGCCAATATGTGTAGTATTTGGGGTAGTTTTCGAAAGTCGGAAATCAGCTGTGAAGCTAATGCGAACTCACGTCATGTTACAGGAAACAGTCCTCCTCTTCCTCAGAGTACACACCGATGAAGATGAAGAAACGATTATGCGCCGACTGATCGGTCACTGAGTGGTCGTTCAGTGAGAAACGCTGACCTCAGATCAATCATTTACAGATCAATGGCTGATCAGTGATCTTTGGAGACGCTCTCAGCTGAGATGCAGAAACGAAACCTTACGTCCTCTTGTGGTGCCTTCATGTACCTCTCATATAAAACAGAAAGCCCAGCCTTCTCGTCGGAAATCTTTCTTCCTTTCTAAAATATGCGCCTTCCGTCTTCTAACATAGTTTCTATTTATGGCCATTAAGTTCTCGAGAGGACAGGAGAGGAGAGGATGAGCGATCTGAGCCGTCAGCCTTTTACCTGTTTTCAGCGAGGCCCTGAAGGCACCACGAGAAGTGTGTGTGGTTTGTGTGACAAAGGTGAGAGCTTCACAGATCGGTCCACGAACTCTTCGTGTTCAGTCAGTTTGCTGTGTCTAAGGAGGAGGAGGTCTCTGTGTGCTCCAACATGAGGTCAGTTTGTCAAACCTCTGATCAATAATCGATCATTTATCACAAAGTGAACCACCTGATGGACTTTAAATGCAGCAGTAGTTTAGCTTACCTGGCGCTCAGGTGCACGCAGAGAGATACAAAGTAACACAGTCTGTCTACCTGTGCATGTAACAGGGGACTGATATCAGAGGAAGAGGAGAAAGTGGACATTAACAAATTATAAACCTTGTATGTGAAAATAATAACTGGTGCTGCAGTAATCAATTATTTTATTAGTCAAATATTCTATCAGTTATTTAATTGATAAATCAAATAAGAAACACTTTTGTCTTATTAATGAGTAATAATAAATATTTAAACAAGAAACACAAAAATGTGTTTTTATAATGAGCTGCTCGTTGGTTTCATATTCTTGAAATGTTAATGTTTGATTAACGGCTAATGGATATGACATCACTGTTTTTACAGCCACAATAATATGGTCTGTTATCACACACACACACACACACACACACACACACACACACACACACACACACACACAGAGAGAGAGAGAGAGAGAGAGAGAGAGAGAGAGAGAGAGAGAGTGTCACGGTCCTGGGTCTCCTGACCCAGCGTTTTTAGTTCTTTGTGATTTTTGTATTATTGTACTTGTGTGTGTGATTTATTCTATGGCTTCTAGTTTTGATCCCTTGCCCTTCATGTCTCTCTGTGTCCCCTCTGTTCTGTGTAATTGTGTGTCTTTGCATGTTTGAGTTTCTTGTTTTCTGTCACTCTGCATTGTGCGTTATGTTCTCATGGTTGGTCTTTTGTTACTCTCTCTAGTCTAGTCTCTTGTGTTCCCAGCTGAGTATTTCCCTGTGTATTTTGGTTCTTAGACCTCTGCCTTATGGTTTATGTCTCTGTATTTCTTAGTTGCTGTCTCCACTGTGTCAAGTTCGCGTCTCTGTGTGATACTTCCTGTTTTACTTTGATGGTCCGTGTCTCATGTGAATGCGTCATGCTTTGCTTGTCTCGTCAGTCCTGATTTCTCCCAGCTGTGCCCTCCTTCTGTGTCTCATTCCCCTCGTTACTCCCCAGTGTATTTAAACCCTGTGTTTCTCTGAGGCAGTGTTGCGTCGTCCCTCATGCTGTGTGGATCTCCCTGTGTCTCTCTGTGAGTTCTTAGTTTGTGGTTTCCCAGTTTAGATTAGTTTGTATGTTTTTTCCCTGCCAGCAAATAAAGCTGAGTTTTGAGTTCACCTCCCTGAGTCTGTGAGTCCTGCATTTTGGGTCCAACTCCTGCCTGCCGCACAGCGATTCCTGACAGAGAGACATTCACATTATATGTGTTTAAAGATAATGTTCTAATCATTATTGAGCATATTTAACTATCCAGTAAATCCACACATGAATCAGAATTTTATTATTGTTCAAAAGTACAATGAAGAGTTAGAGACGCCCATCGTTATCTTCTCAAACTCAGACATGAATAAAAAGGTTGATGATGGATCATCTTGAGGTGACTCCCTTGTTACTTGTCGCAGGTTGCACTTTAACCTCAGGACTCTGACCCTTCAGTTCTTGTGCAGTCAACCTTTTATTTGTTGTTTCATGATCATGCATAGAGTCTTTGTACAGTGGCTGAACAGTGTCAAGCAAACAGTCTCAGTTTCTGGAGAGCAATGCATGGCACTGCACTGAGGAGTGCACAGAGTGCTGCACACTTAGTGCTGCTTGGAATGCACTTCATTCATTCTACTACCAGCCTAAACTTCCCAAAATCCACACACTTAAGCCCTGTTTGCTCACAACTACCTAGCATGTACACACAAGTCCATGTTCCTGTTTACCTTCTTCAGTGCTCACCTCTTCAACAATATTAATTCCAGACCATGAACACTGGTAACTGGAAAAACACGGGAAACTGATGCATCTAACATCTCTAACTAGACATCTTAACACTGGAATGTGCTCAAATGAGTTAAACGAGAACAAATTGTTTGGTCTCATATCCAAAAATATTTTACAGAACAATATCAAAAATATTCCACAAGTACAAACCTGTGTATCACAACATTAGCTGTCCCCTAACACAAACTCTTGTGTCTCACTCCACATCTAAGGTTTCTTCTGGTTCCTCAGTGTGAGATTCAAACCACATCACTGATTTCACTGATTGATTGATCACACAAAGTGAATTTTCTCAAGGAGAGGAGCTGGGAGGTCTGGGTGAGCTGACATGTGCTGGTTGTAGAAACAGGATCCTCAGGTGTGTCAGAGCACTGAGTGAGCCTCGGTTCAGCCAGTCCTGGTTTGATGCTCTCCCTCTGATGCTCCTCACAGCGTTTTCTTTGTGACTCTCTTACAGTGAAGATAGCAGCGCTCTGCTCAGCAGGCTGCAGCAGTTGCAGTGTCACTTCACCTGGGATCTGGACCTGGACGTGGACCTGGAAACCCTGAGCATTCGACTACAGATCGACATAGATTTTCATCAGCGTCAGCTTGAGGGAGAGAGTTGCACCTACAGCCTCTTGGCTTATGTCAGGTACAGTTTCTGTAGCTGTCTGATGAAGGAAAAGCTAAAGTGGATTTATTCTGCTCATTCAAATCTCAACACTTTTATTTCTGTGACTCTGCTAGAAAAAGAGAAGAGCTAACATTAGCCAGAAGAAAGACAGTTTTTCTCACTGAAGTCCGTCTGACCAAAGAGAAATTTGACCGTCAAAGGAAACAGTGGTCAGCATCAGCAGGATTTATATTTGAATGATAGAGAGATAGTTTTGTTTTCAGGATCAGATCCAACCCTGAGCTGTGTTTCTTCTGCTAATGTTACCTACCAGCTTAGCAAAGCTACAGCTAGAAGAAAAACGTCAGCTTGCTTTATGTTTACCTCATTATTTCAACCTTAATACAAACATGTAATATGAAGAGAAACATTATTGGAGTATTGGACTGAAGTTTCTGATTCTTTAAGAATCTTGATATAAATCTGTTTCCTGAAGCTTGTTTGGACTCTTGTTTTTCTGGTGGAAATGCAGTAATTATCTAACCCTGGAGTCATGAACCTCAGATAAAAACCTAAATGAATCATCAACAAGTGTTAGTCTCAAGTAAGTTTCTTGTCAGGTGTTGTAAATGCCTCGTAGTTAAACACCAGTTGTAGAACAGCTGTTGATGACCTGTTGGTCCTCAGGCATCTTAAGGATCAACGAGAGGAAGCGCTGTCACTTTTAAACCAATCAGAGGAGACCATCAGGGAGAGATACGGTGATGAGAGTGAGAAGCGGCTGATTGTGACGTATGGAGACATGGCCTGGCTGAAATATCATGCTGGAGACTTTGCACAGTCACAAAGCTACTGTCAGAGAGTCGAGGACATACTGGTATGTAAACCAATCAGATCAAACATGATGATCACTGCTGTTGAACCTCTGACGCTTCCTTCTCCCTCTGCAGGTGAAGTATCCCACTGGTTCATCAGGAAGTCTCCTCCCAGAGGTCTACGGAGAACAAGCCTGGACCTATTTCAAGGTGTCGAGGTCTTCTCTCTCAGACGCCATCGACTGTTTTCATAAAGCACTTGAGGTACAGCCTCATGACACCGAGTGGAACGCCGGCTACGCCATCGCCCTCTTTTGCAGAGAACAGGTCAGTTTTATGATAAGAATGAAGAGTATTTGGATATTTCTCTAGACAGCACCAAATGATAAACTTAAGGCTCCTTCAGTGGCATCGGTTACTTCAGCGTCAGTATGATTTTTAGAAGTTTCAATGACTAATTTTTTTATTCAAGTGAAATAAACTGTAGACTAACCAGATTCTCATCTGCAGTGGTTTGCAGAAAATAAACAGGACGGGGAGGAATCCAAAGCCACCAAACGGCTTCGCTTTGCATTGGAGATCAACCCAAATAACGCTGCTCTGCAGTGCATGCTGGCCTTGAAGCTGGTGGCCTATAAGAAATACGAAGAGGCTGATGATCGGGTGAAGAAAGCACTAGAAAATGATCCTGATAACCCTCATGTCATTCGCCACTCAGGAAATTACTTACTTAATCGGGTAAGTCTGCAACTTTGGTCTTATTAATTCTTACTTCTGCTCACTGGGTCTTGGGCCCAGTAACTTATTATTTACTGCCTCAATAACCTCACGCCCGGTGATGGACAAATTGTTCCCTTCGTCCCGTGACTCTGTTTCCTGTACTGAAGGTGTGTCAGTTGGATTAAGGAGCTCCTCAAAGTATTACTTCCACCACCCAACAATATCCTCAGTCGAAGCCAGCAGTGCTCTACTACACTATACACAGTGCAGGTAGAGCACTGCTTTCCATTTTGAGTAGTCTGACGGGCAGAGTGGGACTCAATTAAAAAAATTAATCTAACTAATTAGAGGTTTTGTGCTTAATTAATCTTGATTAATCACATTTAATCACACAAGAAAATTTGCCCCAAATTTAAAGGGTTTTAGTGAGCTGGGGTCTATCACACCAGGCAAGACCCCAGGTGCAGGCTGTGTAAAGATGCTCCAGAGACAATCCAGCACATAACAGCAGGGTGCAAGATGCTAGCAGGCAAGGCATACATGGAACGCCATAACCAAGTGGCCGGCATAGTGTACAGGAACATCTGTGCTGAATATGCCCTTGAAGTCCTGATATCAAATGGGAGACATCCCCTAGGGTGGTGGAGAATGACCGAGCTAAGATCCTGTGGGACTTCCAGATACAGACGGACAAAATGGTGGTGGCTAACCAACCAGACATAGTGGTGGTAGACAAACAGAAGAAGACGACCGTAGTGATCGATGTAGCGGTTCCGAATGACAGCAATATCAGGAAGAAGGAACACGAGAAGCTGGAGAAATACCAAGGGCTCAGAGAAGAGCTCGAGAGGATGTGGAGGGTGAAGGTAACCGTGGTCCCCTTGGTAATCGGAGCACTAGGTGCGGTGACTCCCAAGCTAGGCGAGTGGCTCCAGCAGATCCCGGGAATAACATCGGAGATCTCTGTCCAGAAGAGCGCAGTCCTGGGAACAGCTAAGATACTGCGCAGGACCCTCAAGCTCCCAGGCCTCTGGTAGAGGACCCGAGCTGCATTTCGCACCATCTGTAAACCTCTAAAACCTTTCTTTGGTAGCCCAGAAAGGAGAGTGTACAATACAATAATCGATACGTGAAGACACAAATGCTTGGAGACAGACCTCTGCAGTGTTGCTTGATAAATGTTGTCTGAATTTTGGTATGTTCCTTAAATGATAAAAGACAGTCTTTGTTGTCTCTTTTACATGGGACTCGAAGGAGAGCACCACACGCCCAAGTTTTTAACCTTGACATAGTCATCAATTTTCAAGATGAAATTTTGGGACAAGTATGGCTTTGGAACAAAGATTCTAAAGGACAAGATGGAGTTATTGGACTTTAGCAAGTTTAACAAGTTCATTTATACCAGTGACATCACATCACCCCACCAACAAACACCTCAGTGACTTCAAGCGTAGGCTTAGCCTCTCTCCTTGTATATTTGTATTTGACTGGTGTTTTTAAATCTGTTCCAGAATCGACTGGATGAGGCTATTGTTGTGTTTGAGCGAGGACTGAGAAGGGGCGATCAATTACCTTCCTTCACCTACCAGCTGGCTCTGTGCTACAAGCAGAAGAAAATTGCTGAACAGCGCCGCGGGCCCTTCAGCAACACAGGTACACAGAAATATACAACATGTTATCCTTTAATCAACACAACTCAAATCATCCTTTAATGCTCCACAGAAGAGGAGGGTAAGTGGAGGCGTTGCTGTATTAGTCACCTTGAAGAAGCTGTGGAGATGAAACCATCCTTTGTCCGGGCGTGCGCTGAACTGGCACTGTTGTACGCAGAGGAAGGGGATTTGAGCAGGTGCTTGTCTAAACAAAGCTGCACGATTTCCTCCTTTATTTCCTCTGGGTGTAAATTCCTAAACATCTCGTTGTTTCTCAGGGCTGAGGAGACTTTCAAGCACTGCTTGGAGAAGTTACCAGAGTTGAAGGAGAAAAGGGTTTGTCTGATTATCCATCAGTACTACGGTGACTTTCTTCATTATCACATAAAAAACGAGGCTCAAGCCATCGCTCACTATAAAGAGGTAAGTTTCTAGGTGCCAGACATGCCAGCTGCATGTACAGTGTTAGACATGCAGCTGCCTCTTAATGTTCCACGGTTCATCTAAGGATGGACCAATCTAAAATACAGTATTGGTATCAGTGCGATGCTGATGCTGACCTAAATTACTGGGCCGGATATTGGGTAGAAATTAAAAATGTAGCCCGATCCATCAAATATCACAAAAGCACCTCACAAAACTTGTGACATGGTGTAACCCAGGTGGTCCCCTTATCATGTTGGAGCAGTTTGCGTCACGTGATAGAGTGACTGTTGTGTACAAGACCTGTCGGCGGTCTGGAGTCACTTCACACTGAAAGCATTTGGAGCCTCGTTACGTGCTGACAAACCAGCATTTCATCTCCAAGCAAGCTATCCCAGAAAAGTAAAGCAAGAGTCTAAGTTCATCTCTGAATGTTTGTAAAGCATTCCCACGTTAAGCTTAACAACCGATATATGAAGCTGGGACATCTGTCATTGCTAAGTCTGACTCGAGTTTTACTTTGAAAAGAACTGTGTTGAAGGCTAAACAGTTCTGTGGTTCGAAAGAAAAACAACAACAACAAAACAATGAAAACACTTTTTTCATACGTGTTAAGTTTTGTATAGAAATTGCACAAAATTCAATCTCAGGTAAATGTGACAGAAACAGCTCACACTGACATCCATCCTGATAGAAGATCAGTGTCATGAAGCCGTGTTTGCATTGATTTGCACTGCTTTCCACCCTGGATGTCTATGTATGTTCAGCTTTAAGTACAAAAGCGTCCATTCTACAACCTGTTTTTTTTTTTAGCTGTTGAATTATTTTGTGCTGATATTGCACTTCTTCTTTTTTTTCAGCACCAAAGAGTTGTTGAAATCTACATAAAATTGCATTTAAATTACTTTTCAATATTACTTTAAATACTTTAAAGTTCTGCTAAAAGTTTAAGTAAAAAGATCAGTATTGCTGATCTGAAGTATTTTGGGTGCAGTGTTTTTTGCATCCAAGTACAATAGAATAGCTTTAGTGTTTTGGCTTTTTAAACATGAGTATGAACTTATACAAAATGCAGCAAATATTAAAAAAACAAAACAATTTTATTGATTTTAAAATAGACAATATCGGATTCATATCGGTTTCAGCAGATTTTCAAATTTATATCGGTATCGGACTTAAAACAAGAGGTATCGTGCCATCATCATCTCTAGTTTCAACCCAAGAAGAACAACGAAAGAAGAAAAACTAACAGGCCTTGTTTGGAGGGTGGAGGTGTCGGGGCAGTAATGTGAAACATGTTACCGCTCACATCCACCACATGACCTTAGTATGGATGGATTTATCTTCACCATAGTCTTCTGCTGTTTTCTCTCTGCAGGGGCTGCTGATACCACTGAAAAAATATGAGTGGAGACAGTGCGCTCAGGTGAGCACTAGAGACATAACAAAGGTTACGTGTTATATAAACTCAGTGTTGTTACTAACTCGTGCGGTGTGAGCAAAACCTCATATCAAACCTCGCTTGATTTAAATGTTTTGTTCAATACCACCTACTTGTGCACCTGAGGACTGTTTTCACTGTTTTCAACTTCATTTTTGAAAACTACTGGTGACTGCCAGCTGTTCTGTCTGTCACTAGGTCATGTGAGGAGATGTGGCATCAGTCCCACTTTGGATGGTGCACCTGTCATTTCTAAAAAATCTTGTATAATTGTAAAACATTGGGGTTTTTTTAATTAAAGCATAATGACTGTAATGTTTTCTCCCCCTGAAAACGCTACGCCCAGATGAAGAGAATCTACTTCTTTGGAACATAAATTAATCTTTCATTGTTCCTCTATTTTTTCCTGCAGGAACTGAAGCAGATCGCTGACAGGCGTCTGAAAAAGAATCCAGGTGATGGTGAAGCTCTCGCTCTGCTGGGTCAGGTGGCCAGAGCTGAGGGCGAAGAGAGCTGCTGAGTTTTATGAGAAAGCTCTGAACTATGACAAGGACAACGAAGATTACCTGTCCGCTCTGTGCGAGCTGCACCTGGAGCTGCAGGGATCATCCTCTGATTAATCAGGATCACTGCAAAAACTGGCTATAACTAACTTACAATCTTACAAGGAGCCAAAAGTATTTTAATTTTGTTTTGGGAGTGACACACTCAGAGAGAGCAGGATGGAATTAGTCTTTTACAATATGTATTTTATCTCTTAGCTTTTAAATCCTAAAATGAGTTATTTAATTGCATATTAGGTTAATCGATATCACCAAGGCACTGAGATGATGCACTTGTGAATGTGATCGTGTGTGGTGTAAATGCTTTGTCTTGGTCCTTTAATAAAATTCTTGCTCAGTTGCTCTTGTTTTAAGATATTTTCCCTTAAAGTGAGAAAGAAGTAGAGACATTTTCAGTTTACTTGACATAATTTCTGATGATTTCTCACTTCAATAAATGCAAGACGTTGGAAGTAATGATGTAGAAATACTTAGTGTAACAGTGTTTATGCATATTAAACAGTAACATGAGTACTTCCATACTCTCTCACACAGTTTTCCTCCTACTGATTAAAAATGGCAACTTTGATGTGTTTATATGATCACAGAACAAAACATTTCTGGGGAGTTTTTGATGATGTGTGGAGCAGTGAAGTTGTGGATTCTACTGTAAATTTGAGCTACAGATTTAATTGAAAACATGTCAGTATAACAGACAGTGAGTTGTCTGTATGAACCTTATAACTGATGTTAGATATAAATAATTTAAAATAAAGTTCATGGTAGCTAAAACATGATCAGCTGGTGCTCTTTGAGTGTGCTGTTAGGGGCGGGTTGAACTTCTCCAACATTTCTACTTCAGACTTTGTTGTTTTTCTGCTCTTCGGTTTGAGCTGAACCACTTTGACCCTGTTGCTGTGTCCGTGTATCATCTGGATAAATTTCTAGTTGGCACAGATTTCCATTCAAAGTGCTGACTGCCAAACTTTTATCCGTGCCTGGTTTTTATCCAGAGGAAAAGTGTTCCCGGTTGCTCCTACCTTCCTCTGTCAGCATGACTGCTTCACTTTCAGTCAGAGGTTAGCCACTTTCATTGGAATCTGGAAACACAGATAAGACAGGAAAGACAATAAAATGGAAGAAATTAAATATGGAGTGAAACATTTGTGGTTCTGTTCCAGCAAACAAAGAATTTCCTCTTTAAGAAGACTTAACGTGTTATGAAGAGAATCAAGCTGAACTCCATATAATGCAGCTGCTGACTGTTTACTGACCAACAGGAACAGTGCCTCACTTCACTTGTGCTTGCCATCATCTCTATATGCAGTAAAAGATAATGCATGTGTAATTTTTTATTTTTGGTTATATATCTTGGAGAAAAATTGTCAAGTGTTGCACAGTTTTTAAGAGAATTGTATTTAAAAAACAAGAACGACATGTTCTGATATCACAGGTTTAGGACTGGAGACATCAGAGGGTAAAAATAGCTGCTGATAATTTACTGTCAAAGTTCAAGAGGATGCACGTAAGAAAACTAACCTTTATGATAAAAAAGAAAGTTAGGAGAACTCAAATTAAAGTTTAAGTGAAGAAATTTATAGACAACACTTTCTTTTTTTATTCTAAACATGTTTTTTTTCTGTAGAACATAATTAATGATGATTAATTTATGAGAATAAGAGAATAAAATGTCCACCTTCAACTACAGCCAGGAGGTGGCAGCACATCCTTTATCCTCACTTTCTACTCTACTACATGTACCACTGCTCTTAACTCAGTCTACAAGGACGATTGATTATAATGTAGAGGACAGAGTGTGTACAGTGACACACAGTCATAAAGATAAATGGAACGACTAGTAAGTAAAGATATTAGGCATAAAAACACAGAGAAACCTGCAACACATCGTTATTGTGTTATTGTACACAAACAGGAATCCATATACAACACTGAACACAAGCAAGAACGACATTCAAATAACCACAAAATTACTGAGACTTTTACTTTTCACTCACAGCTGTAAAGTAACTCTACACAATGCTCCTCTTTCTCTTTTTGTTTTTCTGTGCTGATGTCATTATACACTAACAAAACAATGGCTACACATCATACTCGTACTTGTATTCACTCTCTCTGTGTCACTCTTCAGACACTGTGAAAACTAAAGAACACAAAAGTTAGCAACGTGTGGACATGTTAGTGTCAGTGCCAGGCCACAGCAATGGTTTCTGCTCAAGCAGCATTAACCCTCAATGGGTGGACATTAAGGGCTCTCAGGAGGGGCCGTGCTGAACCCGCTGCGCTCTGGCAGAAAGCCCCATCCTGGGTTCTAAATGCACTCCGAACAGCATGCAGCAACACCACATATGAGTGGGCTGTGAAGGTATAGAGTATAGGTTATCTGCTCGCCATTGGGGGTGGGGGTCCGGGAGAAGGAGTTGGACGTCTGGTCGGGGTCTGGGATGCTGGGCCATACCCCCGCCCTGCCTCCACTGCTGTCCCGAATGACTGGCAGTTCAGACAGGTGATACGTTGTGATCTGACCCTCCTCCATAGAGCTTTGTGGTCTTGGCAGGTTGTGATACAGACACACAGAATAACATCAATAGATGTGAGTATACCAAACCACCTCAGCTGCTGCAGAAAGACGAGCTGCTGTCTTGTTGTTTTTGTGATCACATCTATGTGATCAAGGGTTAATATACATTTAAACACTATAACTAAATTACTTGTCAAATCAGTACCTCAGATCTGAGTAAAGGGCCTGTTCTTCTACCTCACTTGACTTTCAAATGTGGATGCAAAGCTTCTGCTCTCTTGTTACTTGTGTACACTTTCTCTGTGTTTCCTGTTTAATTTACTCTCTGATTCAGGATTCTGTGCCAAGATGGGATCACAGCAAACAATTATAAATTACGCTGTTTGGGATTCAGGAGCTTTCATTGATTATTATAAGTTATAATGATTTTTTTTAAATAAAGAAAAATGCGAGAAGAAGAAAGTAAAACATTAAGTTTTGTTCTTAACCTAACCCTGTCACCATCAGAGGGGCTGATGTGGAGATCGTTGAGGACTACCGGTACCTGGGGGTACACTTGGACTGTAAACTGGACTGGACCAAGAACACCAATGCTATCTTCAAAAAAGGGCAGAGTCGGCTTTTCCTACTGAGGCGACTCAGGTCCTTCAATGTTGGTAGGAAAATGCTGATCATGTTCTATCACTCGGTGTTGGAGGGCATCGTGTTCTTTGCAGCTGTGTGCTGGGGAAGCTGATGCCAACAGGCTGAACAAACTGATTAAAAAGGCTGGTTCTGTCCTGGGTGTCAGACTGGAGAACCTGGAGGAGGTGTCTGAGAGGAGGATGCTAAAAAAGCTTCTTTCTATCATGGACAACCCCTGTCACCCCATGCATGCCCCCATGATGGACCATTGGAGCAAATGCAGCAAAAGACTCATTACACTCATTATCTGTGTACTCTCTCCTTTGTGTGATGGCTCTGCACAGTCAGAGCAAATAAACCAAAGAAGTTTAACTGAGGCTGTTTCAGATTGAGGGGATTGGTGATTGTAAGTTATCTCTAGCTGTGTTTTGAAGAGGAGAGATGTTTACTTATGGACTTCTACTATTTATGTGAGAAACGCTCTTCAATCATATTTAATAAAAACAGAGTGGTGAATCAGAGGAGGAGCGTCTCTCAGCATTCATCAGTACTGCTACACACACACACACACACACACACACACACACACACACACACACACACACACACACACAGCAGACTATTTAATCCCGTCTCATCATGTCTGGAATGCAGTTCAACCATTTCTTACAAACCCTTGAGACTTCATGACGCTTCATAATAAAAATGACTACATAATGTTTGCTAGTCATGGGTTGACACTCCTTGCCGGGCAGCCTGCTCTTTTTGTGTCTGTGCGTGTTTTCATCTCTCCGTTGGCCTCTCTGTCTCCCTGGGTTTATGTTTTCAAGGAGGTGCACACTTCCGGAAGCAAATACCACAAGGCCTCAGAGCAGGAATAATATATTTATTGGTTTTAAACTAATATAAGGTCAGTTCTGTATCCATGAATATCATTAATCAACATGTCTCTGGGTTTTCCTCTGCGTTGCATATCCTCTTGAGCATCAGTCATAGTGCTTATTTGGCCTCATCATTATTTTTAGCCTGACATGTGCTACAGGTATGCAGTGTTCATCATGTAAATGACACATTCACTTGATATCAACACCACATTATTACAAACAACAGCAACAGCATCACACACACACTGTAATGCATTGACTGCTTTCCTGCAGGGAGTTTCTACACTGTTTCTTAGTTTACGTTAAAAAACAACATGTGCAGTACAATTTCTTCCCTTGTTCAGTTCATTCACTTCTCTGTTGTCTCGACAAAGGAAAAGTTTCGTTTAGTTAATGGATAAGAAATGGAAATCCAGTCTTCATAATAGCACAGCTGCCGTGCAAACAGACTCACATTCAAACTGCCGTCACTTTGTTTCTGAATGAAAAAAATGCATTTGTGTTGGTGTTTGTGTTTTATTCTCAGTCATTACAAAACTACATTATTTAGCTGATAACATTTTAAACAAAGTTGGTGATAACAAGCAGCTGAACCAGCGCTGAGGTTTCAGCATGATGCTGTGTTTATTTAGAAGCACTGCCGACAATTATTGTTCTCAGAAAAATGTCTAACTGCTTAATTAAACAATTAAACCATACTAGGTATGGTTCCTATGCGCAAATTTTCATGTATTTATTTATTTATTTCAGGTTCAACATTGAAATCAGGTGAAACAGTGTCAAAGGTTAAAATGCTTCAATAAGTCATAAATCATGGAGGAAACCTCATAATATGAGAAAACAAACAAGCCCATGAACAACTGTACTCTGATCCACTTCATATGCTTCATAAGCAGGTGTGATGCAGCAGTGTCATGAAGGTTTATTTATTTACAATGTTTGAATGTTCAGGCATCTCTTGCTGAATCACTGAATTTATAGTATTATTAATTCATATTTGGGATGCAGGAGTTATTATAAGTCATTCTGAAAAAGGCTCTAAGAGAGAAAAATAAAGTAAAGCTGTAATGTAGAGGCTAAGCCTGGGTTTGAAGTCAGTGAGGTGTTTGCTGGGCTGACGCGATGTTATTGTTGTGAATGAAAGTTGTTGTATGGGGAAAGTCCAGCCATACTGATCTTATGAGCTCAAGCATTTATTGCTTACCATGGATCCCATGTCACAGTTCATCATCCAGTATAAATCAGCATAGCCGTCACAGACAGGACCAACAACAGCCTGTTTTAATGTTCCTACCTTAAATACAATTATTTACAAAGGAAAAAAGAAAGAAAGTCACACATAAGTTGATAAAGAAAGGACGAAAATGGAGAAAGTAAGTTTCGTTTTACAAGAAATGGGGGAGGGTTGGGCTCCACCTACTCTGTAGCAATTTATCAGAATTGATTCACTTTTTTTTTTCAGTTGACAAAAGAAAAAATAAATAAACAAGTGAGCTCATGCTACACATGCTATCAAAGAACATTCAAATAAGACTGACTGACTCACAGCCCTGATCCCACATTTAGTTGTTTAAACCATTTTATCGAGTTACTGAGTTCATGAGTTGCTGCTTGTAAAACAAATTACAGGAAAAGAAAAGAACAGAACATTTTTAACATCCACAGTTTTCCTTCAGGCTGTTAAATGTTCTTTGGATTCTTAAAGACTTGAATAATGAGCTTGTTTTAAAACAAACAAACAAAAACAAAAACGATTACACTTGCATTCATGTCTGTTGTGTCTTAAAACTGCTTCCTCAAACTGAACAGTGGTTTTAATGAACCTGAACACAAACCACAACACTGGCTTGTTAGGAGTTGTGCAGGTTACATTTCAATTGCATTTTCTCTGTATCGTGGTTAAAGGTCAATATTCAGGTTTATTAGCAGATTTGAATGGATTGAATCATGATGTAAAGTTACGGCTTCACTTAGCCTACACGTCTAACCTGCATGAGATCTCAAATATATTAGTAATACATAATTTATTCTCACCAGATAGTTATACTATGACAGTCTAAAAATGTTATATTCATTGTATTAAGAAAATGTTTGTCCTTGCCATTGCTGAGCAAGTTTGACTAGTGTGATCACTGATGTTGTTGCAGGTAGAAATTAAACTGTGTGGGCACAGCTGTCACTCCTGTGTAGTGTGCACACTGGGTATGATCCTCTTTCTCTGTAGAAACCTAGACACTTAGCATGTGAGACATTAGTGTGGTCTCACTTCCCTTATAAAAGACCAGAAAAAGATGAAGACACAGACATTTTGTTGGGGCTGAGCTGAAATAAAAATTCAGTCACTTTAGATCAAAAGATCTTTACTTTTCTTTAAAGAACATGAAAGATTTGCAAAGCAGAGCTTACAAAGTTTCAACACCTGGACATTGTTAATAACACTGAGAATTAACTTTGACATCATTTATTTCTTCATTATTTGATCATTTACAGAATATAAAACATTATGATCTTTTCTGATCTGCTTCTGGCAGCTGAGAATCCCTGAAAAATGTGTCATGGTCTGTTTGTATTCTGCTCTTATAATTTCTGAGAATTATGTGTAATAATGTATCAATACAATAAAGAAACAGAAA